CCCCAAAACCCCAAAACCCCAAAACCCCAAGAGATCAAGTCAACTTGCAACATTTGAATTGGAAAATTAAGAAACTTATTTAAATTATAAAGATATTAAATTATAAATTTGAATTAGGAAGTCAAATTTTATTATCTTTCTTAGTATATTTCGCATTAAATGGTTGAGGTCTGCTCTATTAATGAGGGCATTAATAAGATTATTTTGGATCTTTGTTTGATAATTTATATTTAAATTTTTTTTCTTACTGTCAACCGAACCTCTTGTTGGCTTGATGCAAAAGAAATAAGGGCTGATTGAGGCCGTGGAAGATTTCCAGGCCAGCTACCCACTTCAATTTCACCTTCCTTCCCATTCAGGAAGATATATTAATGAATCATTCAAGGATCTCGTTGTTAAATATGGGGTGAAAAAGATTGATGGTTGCTGGCTCGCCATGCACAATGTAGAGGGGTTGGAGTTCCCTGGTGCACGTCTTGGCGATTTGGGTGATATCTACCACAAGCCTTTCGGTTCTTAACTAACTCTGTTTCTTCAAAACGGTTCCACAATTGGAAATCAGATAGTATCTTTGTGCTTAGCAAAGAAAAAGGTTTTAATTCAAACTAACTCACACATATCAGTCTACTCTGGTTTACAACTTGCTGGAGCAACAATCATTCCATTACAACCTGAATACAACGCGGAATACGACTTGTACATGCCAGTCACTGCACATCAGATAAAAGAGGCTCTGGAGAATGATCCAGAAATTGGAGCAATTTACCTTACATCTCCAAATATGGAGGGGCTTGTGGCAAACTACTAAGAAATTAGATAGGCTTGCAAAGATGTGTTGATGATCGTTGACGAAGCTCATGGAGCTCACTGCTATTTCAGCAAGCTTATGCCTACAGGAGCCTTAAAAAGTGGAGCTGATGCTACAGTTAATTCAGTTCATAAAACTTTAGGTGCACTCTCCGCTTCGGCTTTGATAAACGTCAGCAAAAGTTCAAGATTACCTGCTCAGAAAGTCAAGGATTCATATCATCTTCTAAATACAACTAGTCCCAGTCCACTTCTTTTGGCTGATGTTGAGAGTTGTGTCCGCATATTCAAGTAAGAGGGTGAGTAATTGCTTGAGGGAGCCATAAATTTGAATAAGAAATTTAAGGCTGCCCTTTAAAGAATGCCCTAAGTAATAATAGGAAATTTTGACGATCAATACGAATCTGACCCTACCAAGACTGTATTTAAAATCAAAGGCCTGTCAGGCCATGACGTGGGGGATCTCCTCGATTTAATGAGGATCAACATTGAAAAGACAACCTAGAAGTGCTGTGTGGTTACTTGCCATATAAATATTACCGAGCAAGATATAGATGAGCTTATTGCCGGTGTCGAGTAAATCGCTAGAGAGCATGGAGTGGTTGATGACATCCGTGAAGATCATTAGTAACTTAACCCCATTTATAAGAGAATCTTAATTGCTAGAAAAATCACTGTTGACTTGAGAGATGTGCTTGCTTCTGAAAGTGATTATCTCCCAGCCGACCAATGCCTAGGAAAGATCAGTGCCGAAATCAAGTATGTATGTCCTCCAGGGTTCCCAGTTCTAGTGTACGGAGAGGAGATTCTTCAGGAGCATATCGAATACTTCGGTCAGCAAAAAATCAAGGTTCTCAGAAACGATTGATTAAAATTCCTCGTATTAAACATATTAAACATTCCTTAATGAAAAACATCTTCACTCAACCATAATGCTTTCATTAACCTTTAAGCACACTACTTCATACAGAATATACTACAAAAGACATATGATTCTAAATAAGTACTACAATATTATGGTAAGCTGAATTACTCTATATTTTGGACAATTGTGACTCATGGGGTTTTGGGGTTTTGGGGTTTTGGGGTTTTGGGG